ACAGAGCGGCGGATCCCACGTACAGAGCGGCCGCTCACTGGCTGAGCGAGGGGCAGGAGCAACACTGAGGGTTGCGATCCCGTGGCCGGTCCCGGTCCGGTACGGGCGCGACACTGAGCGTTGCGATCCGTTGCCGGTCACGAAAAAAGACAAAAAAGGAAAGGAAAAAAAAAAAAAGTTCATGGAAAGATTCACATTATCTTTCAGTTCTGTTTTCCTACAAACTTTTTGAAGTTCCCTCATATACGTTCCATTGGCTTATAAAGAAAAAAGGGAAAAAAGTAGACCTCATAAAGTTCCAGAAGTCAGTATCCATCCCTGGAACACTGAAATGCCTTTAAAAAGTAGTATTTCTTTTGGCATTACTGAAAAGCTCACAGTTCACAGCTGTGAAAAAGGAAAGCCAGATTTTCTAAAAGCTTCTCCTTTTCTGATCACTCTTCCTTGTGGAAAAAACAACTTCCAGGTGCTCAGAATTTTACAAAGTGTCCACTTAAGTATTTGCCTGGCTCCTTTCTTCCATTTTTCATTTATTTCTTAAAACCCCATAGGGCTGCTGTATTGGGTAATAAAATGGTGGCCCCAATGAATCAATACTTTATGATGACTCTTAAAAAATGAGGTATTTGAACACATCCCTTCAATTATAAAGAGAAAATAGCTATCTGTGCATCTGGATTTATGAATGCAATTTAACAGCCTAGTTGTTCGTTTTACCCAGACTTTGCAGTCCTTCTAAAATAAATATTTTTAAAACTTTCTAAGCCCTGCAGTTTAAAATGTCAGCCCTTTATGGAGAGAAGGCTGTATTCCTGTCCCCTCTGCAGTGGTCCCTGCTGCTCTTCATCCATCCTTTTTACTCTGCCCAATGCAAGTGTGTGTGTTCTGGTCCAAAGGAAGAGACACCCAGGTGGATGTACCCTGGGGGATGTAGTCTGTAAAAAAATCTAGAACACACAACACAAGTGCTCATACACATTTTTTGCCCACTTCATAGAATCACTGGCATGTCTGTTTGCTTCATACAGTTACTTCCTGGAGACATTCAAGGCTAAAGACCCAGCAGCTAACAATGACCCCATTTTTCTCCTGGTAAACACAAAGGCCGTTTTCCCTCTTGAATGTATCTGGTTCTGAGTCAGCCCTGTAGGTGAACACCTCCCATCAGAACCTCAGAGATCTTGCCATGGTGTGATGTCGCTGTGCAAAAATGTAAAACATCTTTCTCCGTTTACTGCAGGAAATTTGCCATCTACTTAAGGAAGTTTTATCACATCTCTCATTCAGTTACTGTTTCCTACATTTCAAATAAACGGCTGTCTACAGAGTGCGCCCACCCCCCTAGCCCCTCATAAAATTTTGTTGAATGTCTTTCTGACTTCCACTGCATGTGGACTGGTAGATGTGATAAATGCAGGGACGCTTTAAATAGGAGTTTTCTGAAACTATTGACTAAAGAGAAGCACTTAATTCATTATGTCAACCAGACCTTCCCCCTCCCCCCCTTATTCCTAGGGTTCCCATAGGCATAGCTAGAAACCAGTTAGGGTTTTACCAGTGCTGCAGTTTATGTACACATGTTAATTTCAAGTGGTCGGTTTCACTTCATCAAGATTTTAGCTGAAGGTTAATGCAGTTAAGTAAGATTAATCTTGCCATGTTGTTTCCGTCCTCAGATTGCAAGCATCATTGTTCAACTGCGATGCTTCAAATGTCATTTGAGAGCATTCTCTAAAAGCTGCAGGCTCACATTTATTCTCATTTTTATCTTGCAGTTCACTTGACTTTAGAATACCCCTTCTGTTTTTTCAACATGGTAATTATTTATGGAAATTGGTGAAAGCTCTCTCAGGTCCTGACAGACCTGTGTGAGAGCTGTGCTTTGCTTTTTGTTTGTATGGCCCCAAATTCAGCCTTGTTTTGGAACTATCATTCACTTGTAAATCTGCTTTGCTTTTTTCAAATCCTCCCCTAATCCCGTCTTGCCATCTTTTAACCTTTTCTCCAGAGCTGACTCAGAAACTATTATTTGCCATTCTAGTATGGGAAACAGAGAACTCTAATGATCCTTTCCGAATCATTAGAAATGATTTTTTTTTAAAGCTGCCTCTTTGTAAGACAACAAGGCAAATTTAAAATATTTTCATGTTTGTATAAAGTGAGTTACAGCTCCTGTCAGGGGTCTTTGCCTGCCTGGCTAGTTTGCTTTGTGAAGGTCACTATTTGTGTTCTTGGGTGTTGATGAGAAAATTAACAGGAAAAATGCACTTAGAAAGCAGAAAGCAGAAATGAGCTTTTCTCTTGTTTTCTTTTTCTCACCCAGGGGAGAGACCATTCTAACACAGGTACCGTCCAGACAGTGCCTCTCAGAAAGGGAACCTAAAGGCATGTTTCCAGCGCATCCTGGCTACCCCGTAACGGCCATCAGCAGTCCCTTCCCAATGTTCCAGCAGCCTCCCAACAGCGACTACGGCCACCTGGTGGAAGAGCAGCTGGAGAACTCCCAACCAGACACCTCAAATCCTGGAGCCGCTGTGCTGGAGTGGATACATGGGAGATGCCTCTCCTTGTTAAGCATTGAAAAATAAATTAAGATGCTATGCTCTAGAATTACATGTAGATATTATATATGCATATATGTGCTCATCGACCATAGTCCCATATTTTCTTATAATAAACAGTGGTACCGGCAGGCACAGTAGGAGCACAAGGCATCTGTATTATTCAAGACAAGTTTGAGACACTGGAAAAAGAGATACTTCTTGTGTGTGTTGGACAGAGCGGAGCAGCTGAGCACTGTAATAGGCCTCTGCATGCTCAGAAGGACTGTCGTGGTGATGTCGGAACAGACGGTGGATTTGAGGTTGATAAAGTATTAATACTACTGCCTCTCCTCGTCTTAGTGGGTATTTAAAATAGCAAGTAAAAGAGAGGAAGGAGGTGGCGTCCAGGTGCTGTGGCAATGGGGCTTGGTGGAGCGGGGGCCGAGGGATGGTCCTGATTGTTCAGCGGTTCCATCGCATTACCCGCCTGGGCCGTTTGCATTTCCCATGTGTTTGTTCTGTACCTTCCACCATTCGTACTCAGTGAATCCGGCAAAGGACACATGTCCGTGGGAATGCGTATATCCTGCTTTGGAAAAGAGAGCTAGTTGAACACTAAGAAAAGCAGCCTTCTTTGTTTATTCTCAGGACCTTTTTGTAACAGGGCTACATTCTGCAAACTGCTCACAAAAGAAGACTACACGTCTTAACAAGTTATTTAGCCACTGAATCCTCCCAATTTGGACCTGTTTGAGTAATGGCAGAGGAATCTCTGAGCAGATTTGAGGGCCCTAGATCACTAGGGTACTGATGCTCTGGAACCTTCTGCTCTCCCCCCTCCCCCACCTCATTATCCCCTGCACCACCCAGCAAGGTGGTGTCTTTTTTCCGTGGGCCTGGTGACCTCCACAGGACAAGTGGCTTCGTCCACACAGGTTGGGGGCCACCAGACCCCTGTGTGGAGGGCGGCTTTCTATACCTCTTCCTCAGAAATGCAAATCCAAGTTTTTGTGGTGGGGGTTAAGGCCCATACAAAGGATCTTAAACCATGCAGTGTACGTGACTAAAATTGTATTCCACAGATATAAATGTTTTCTTTTCCTACTGCCGTGACACTATGTGTGATGGTAATACTTCTGAGAGTTTCAGATTTTTGCACATATGATTTTATGCATTATCAAAAGTTACTGCTGCCTTGAATGAAAATGTTCTGTGAAACTTTTTGCAAAAGCTTTACTAGGTTTTTTTTTAATTGTGAAATTTTGTAAAGGCAGGAAATGGATTAAAATGAGCATGCTAAATATATTTTTCAAGAAAGCAATAATTTTACATGTACAGAAATTATCCTAACCTTTAATACTGGTGAGAGCGACAGTTTACTTAATACAGTAATGGATAAGTGCAGTTTTTGTAGAAAATGGGCTTCTGATACAAAGACTTGTTTAAAACACACACAAACCCTAAAGTGTGGTTTTCCTGTTCTAATGATTTGTGGAATTATTATTATTTTATTATTATTATTATTGTTATTGTTATTGGTTAATGTTTGGTTCTGGATTCTACTTGTTACTGAGTTTAAATTACTTGACGTTTCAAGTTACTTGCAACACTTATGCAGTGTAACTGGCTAGCTTTTATATATATATATATAT